AGATATAGGGTTTTTCTTTAAAAAAAAGTAAAATAGAAACTAACAAAAATGAACCAAAAAAGGATAATTAAAATTATTTCCTGGAAGTATACAATGGAGGAGAGTATAGAAGTTTAATCATCCACGCTTACTATATTAAATGACATTTTTATCTATGGGGTGCCCTTGTAGAAAAACTTCTTTAATATAAGCCATAAATGATGCCCACCTTTGACTAAACTTACTTTTCATTACAGGATTTTTCAGACCCTTTTGTGGCTGAGTTAATTTTTCAGCCAGCGCAATGATTACACCCAATTAGTTTTCACCCTCACCATTAATGCAATGTAATTTTAATAAAGCATGTATAATGCCACCAAGGAATGACTTTTATTGTCATTTCTGAATGACCTGTTGAAGTGGATTTCAAAGGAATTCTGTACTCTTAAGAACTTCATCAAGTTCAAAACCTAAAACCTGTACCCAAAATTTTTAAAAACTTTCCAAGGTGCTGTAGCCAAAGATGAAAATATGATATACAGTAAAATCAGTGAGATTCCTTAGTTATGCAAAGAATCAAGGTCTACACCACTTCTCCAAAACCTTTAATGAACTTAACAGATATTTATTTCTTTATTTTATTTATATATCAAATTCATATCACCGCCCAACTCCCCCACAAGGAGGTATTCTGGGCGGTTCACAACAAAACAATTTAAAATCAGTAAAAACATAAATAACACAAATATAAAATTCAATTTTATATTAATAAGATATGACCTATAGAATCTGTAATAAAATATGTGCTTTATCGGAAACCAGAACGACGTGCGGTTTTCACATCGGCTGCTTTTGCAGGACACGCCAAACCAAGTCAGGTCAACAACTGCGTTTGCCCAACCTACTAAGTGTGATGCGTTGAATCTTGGTTGGGTTCTGTGTGCTTTAGCACGCTGGGAACACGGGACAAGGGCCTTTTCTGGCTGGACGTTAGAAGAACTTCTGAAGAGCAAGCCCAGTTCAGAAGAACTTTGCTGGGTGTGTTCAAGTGAAGATGGGACAGCTCTCTGTCGGATATTTCTGGTTCTGAGCAGGGTTGCATCGATGGGCTTGCAACTCAAGGACTCCTAGCAGTTGTTCTGACTGGTGTTGCAAAACGGCTGCCCGTGTGTAGGATGCCACATGTGTGCAACTGGCAACTGGCAAACTTCATGGGCGCTCTGCCTTTTACACCAGGGTTCCTCAACCTTGGCCACTTGAAGATGGGTGGACTTCAACTCCTAGAATTCCCCAGCCAGCTTTGC